AAAAAAAAAAAAAAAAAAAAAAATAGCATTTTAGTTAGGATTTATTTTTCAGTTTGTACTGATTAAATTATTTTCTTTTTAAACTAAAGAAAAAAGTATAGCTGCAGTTCTACTCATTCAAATCTGGACTCACCTTTTCCTTCACCCAGTTTTGCTCCTACCCTGGCCTCTTCCTCTTTTCTGGGCTCCCCACCAGAGGAAGGACATCTCCAACCATCCTGTTGCTCAAGCCAGAAAGCTGGAAGTCATTCCTCCTCCTCCCCACCTCTGCATCAAGTCACAAAGACTCCATCTGAAGACTCCATCTTTATGTTTTTATAATTATGTTTATTTTCCTCTCCATTTCTTCTATTTAGGCCTCATCACTTCTGATCTGATCGCTCACCATAAAAACCTGCTAAGAATCCAACCTTCACATTAGCATCCAAATGATTATTGTAAAATGGAAATGTAATCAAATCAGCTGTAAAACAAGGGTAACTATGAGAATAACAACACTGCAACATTTGTAGAGACTTTAGCACAGCGCCTAACAGGTCCTCAAAAAAGAAAGAAAAGATGGAGAAAAGAGAAAAGAAAGAAAAAGTCAGCTGTTACAGGTAGTATCACTCCATCCCTAAAATCCTCCAGTGTCTCTCAAGAGCCTTCAAAATAAAATTCAAACTTTTTAGCATAATGCCCAAGCCCTTATTACTTGGCTCCTGCTAGGCCTCCAGCTATCTCCAGCTACCTCTATGAACACTTATAATCTGGCCATGCAGTTACAAAAAGTTATGAAGTATCCCACTAAAATAAAATATAATGTTAAGAGGCCATCCATGACAGCAACAACAAAAAAAAATGCCTGGTAACACATTTAAGAAGAAATGATCAGGACCCAGTTTAAAAACAAAATAAAAAAAAAATCATAAAACACAATGAAGAAAGTAAATATAGAGTTATATGTTCATGAGTAGGAAGATTCAACATTTTAAACATGCTAATTCTCTCCAAACTGATACATAAAAATCACTGTAATCACAATAAAACTCACAATGGGATTTTGGGGGAATCTGCCAGAAATATTCTTAAGATCCTCTGGAAGAATAAACATACTAAAAAATGCAAGGAATATTGTAAAAAGGAAGAACAATGAACAGAAGTAGTACCATGTATTTCAGTGGAAATTAGTACACATTAAAAGTGGCAGGCTGGACGCGGTGGCTCACGCCTGTAATCCCAGCACTTTGGGGGACGGAGGCGGGCGGATCACGAGGTCAGGAGATCAAGACCATCCTGGCTAACACTGTGAAACCCTACCTCTACTAAAAATACAAAAAATTAGCTAAGCGTGGTAGCACACGCCTGTGGTCCCAGCTACTTGGGAGGCTGAGGCAGGAGAATCTCTTGGACCCAGAAGGCAGAGGTCGCGGTGAGCC